AAATATCGTTTCTTGTAACTATAGAAAAAATACTAAGTGAAGATTTGTATTAGTAAATAGTATATCATTATACAGATAGTTGTAATAAACAAGAAATTGCTGAAATACTTTATATAAGTCATTTATCTGTTAGTAAAATTCTTAAAACTTATAATAAATAGAAACATGTTGTTAATCTATTTAAAGCTCTACAAGATAGACAAAAATTATTTTCAGATGAAGAATTAAAAATTCTTAAAAATCCGATCAAAGAAAAAGTTGATTAGTACTTAGATAAATTTTTGGTTGAGATAAATAATTTAACTGGTAAACATGCATCAATTCTAATATTGTAGTGTTCATTAAAATATATGAAAATTACTTATAAAAAAGTAATTATTTAAATAAGTTTGAATATACCTTATTTCACCAACACTCATTATGTAAATATAACATTTTACTGACAATCAATTTACTGACATATTTGTTTTATAGACAACTAATTTCTAGAGCAGCTTATTTCATAGACAACTTATTATATATATAGCTTAGTTCACTGATAAGTTAATTTCAAATAATTCCTTTAACCTTAATCTAACTCTAACTTTAATTCTAATAGTAATAATATTAGTAAAATGAGCTATTAGTAAAATAAGTTGTTTACAAAATAAGCTTGTCTAAGAATTAGTTGTCTGTAAAACAAACATGTTAGTGAATTGATTGTTAATATTCATAAAATGAGTATTAGTAAAATTAGCTAAACTGATAAGTTTTATACATATTATGATAGATTTGTAGAATTTGATATTTATCAAATTTAACTAGATAAACCTTTTTATATAAATTGAAATATATATAGCTCTTGATATAACAAAAATCATAGTTTCAAAGCTTTATAGTATCAAATCTCATAATATATCAGATATTATAGTAAATCATAATTTGGTTCTATTATAATTCTCTGTATTAAGCAATATCTGTTATATTAATAGTTTGTTATATCGAGAGTTATATATACAAATAAATATCTATTTTTATAAATTTAGAATATTTAACTACAAAACAAATTCTGTTAATCTGCTATGATGAATTATATATATATATTTTTCAGTTTTAACTAATATTATTTAAGTTACAAAAAGCAGTATATGAACAAAATAAAATTGTCTATAGTATATTTATTGCTAAGATCAGAATGAATTATAAATCAGAACAGTTAATCTTTTTAGATAAAAGTGCAAAGGATGAATAAAGCCTTATACAATATTATAGATATATAATAGCTAATATATGAGCATATTAAAGTTATATTTTTTTATAAAATAAGTAGTATACTATTTTACTAGCATTATTATTAGATAGAATACTGACTATTGATATAATAGAAAAAAGTTATATTAAAGACTAATTTTCAGAGTTCATATTATCATAAGTAGTTAGTATCATAATTTTAAATATATATACAAAGTTGTATTATATGTTAAAAAGTTACTGAGTAACTTATCAAATAAACAAATTATCAAATTATGTTTTTGAATTGCTAGCAGATTTAAATCAATTATTATAAATTGATCCTGATAATATATTCATATTAGAAAACTATGAAGAAACTTATTATATACTATGCAAATATGATGAATTAATTGCAGGTTTAAATAAATCAAAATATAATTACTCTTGAATTTAAATAGATAATTAAAAAGATCTAGTAATCTAGTATAGTGAATAGATTTTTGGACCACCATGCAAGAGGTCTAGGGTTCAAATCTTACTATTGACAGAATTGAATAATTACCTAGACATCTATACTCAACTTACAGTAAACTCTGTTTGTTTCTAGAGTTATAACCTTGTAAATCATATTGCACTAATGTTTTTGAATATTAGAAGTGTTACAAAATATTAGAGTTGTATTATATGAATAAATTGAGATAGGATCTATAGGCAGAGGACTTGCATAGTAGAAATTTCAAGTTAGATGAAGTAGTAAAGATTTCAATGGTCATACTAGTTAACACTTGATCTGATGAAGATTTCTGAATATGAAAATATAGATCAAAAAAGGTACAAATAAGTCTGTGACATTGGATATTATAGCAACACTAACTTGGCTTAGAGCTAACTAGATTAGGAGAATCTACTTCATGAAATATTCAAAAAGATATAGAAGTCTAATCTAGTAGAAGGCTATAGCTAGAACTAGGTTTGTACAAATATCGAATAAGGGTATATACAAGCTAGATTAGGATATAGTATAGCATAGTTAGATATCATATTACCTATTTATTAGAAAGCATTGAAGTAGAACTTATCTGAGTAAGATTCTGAGCTCATAATAGTAAAGTATACAACATATGTTAGCTTAGGTACCTCCTAAAGTAGAGTAGTACAAGGTTATAATTAACTTAGTAATACCATACTTGTGAATATAAGATAGGGCCAGAGAGTTTAAATAGATAATCTTCTAAGAGGTTATAAGTATAGCAGCTAGTGTAGAACCTTCAGGCAGACTACTTAAAATAGATAACCTAAAATTGTATATGTAGTTAGTTGTACTTTCACAATATGTATCATATTTTGTAACTATAATAATCTAATAAAAGTTAAGCCAATAGTATTTGTATCAAAAAAAAAATAAAAAAATAAATAATTAAAAATTAATTCAAATAATGTATTTGTATTAGTATAGCATTAAATAAACAAGAATCGCTTACAGATTTAAATAAATCATTAAAAATTGAATCAAATAATTAACAAATATATGATTAAATAATTATTAATTAATTATTAATTAATCTTTATTAGTTGTTCTAAATTAAGACACTACATATAATAATAACTAATTAAGTTTATTAATTCAACTAAGTTTGACTACTAATGATATTTTTTTTAATTTAGATTCCTTTAATGAACCTATATTCTAGTAAAAATAGTATTATTATTTTAGATAATATGAAAATTTATTATAACAATAAACTAGTTGAAATAATAAGAAGGTTAAGATATCATATTAAATTTCTTCTGATTTATTTTCTAGATTTTAATCCAATAGAGACTGTATTTAGTACTATAAAAAGTTAGATTAAATATAATAAAGATTTTATGGGTATATATAATAATTCTATTTATGTAATAATGATAGCATATTCTCAAATTATAGCTAAGATGGCAGAAGAATTTTTTAAAAGGTCTATATATATGTAATTATTTAATTTAAAAGAAATAAATAATAAATAAATATATAGGTAGATAAATTAGTAGATCATATAATATTGAAGTTAACTTGCAGTTTACTAATTAGAATCTAATAATTTTTATACTAAACTCAAACTCAATTATAAGTTTAATTTAAGTTCAGTCTGAAGTTTATAAACTAGTATGAGTTCAAATATACTCTTATTAAACCAGATCAGATCAAACTACAAAATTTCTAGTTCAAAGTTCAAAAAGCTTTTTTTGTAGCTTAATTTAGTATATATATAATAATACTAGAACTAACTAGATCTTTATAATTATTTGATTAAGAACTTTATGTATGATAAATTACTAATAGCTTTATAGATCTAATATGAATTTTAATGACATGATTCAAACTATTAATTAGTGTTATATTAGAACTAAAATATAATGATATCTACCTAATAGTTCTACTCAAAATCCAAAAAAACAGATCAAACTAATAGTACAAGTGATGAAGAAAGTACTGAAATAGTTAGTACTAATAACAAAATACAAACTAACTAAAATCTGAATGTATTACTTAAAAAGAGAAAAAGTTAGTACAAAGAACTAAAATACTGACAAAAATATAAAGAAAAAAAAAAATACTAAACTAAAGGCATTAAAATATATAATGCATCAAAATAGTTGATACAACAAACTAATGATACTAGCAATAAAATTCAAAAGTCTAATCTGAAGAATCTGAAAAAGAAAATATGAAAGTTAGTACTTAGAACTAGAGCATAACTAAAATACAAATATATTATTAATAATGCAATAAAAGACATACTAAAATAAACAATACTAATAACAAAGAATAACTAGTATACTAAAAACAATATTATTAGAAATGACAAAACCAATATAGAAAAAGGTATTAACAAATAATAATGATATAAGAGACACTAGACAAAGCTATAAAAAATAAAATAAAATAAATTAGCAAAGAAAAAAAATTAACTATAAACAAAAAAAAAAAAATACTTATATTATCCAAATGACAACTCAGTTTATTGAGTAATTTAGTTGACCTTGTTATAAAATTAATCAAATTTCAAAATTTCTAATGTTATACTTATGAACAAGTATCTGATTTTTAACCAAAAGTTATTTTAGACTAAGCTGAGCATAAAATGAATTCGAGCTATACTAATCTTAACAGAAAACAAACTCAGTTTATGCTAAGATTAGCATAAAACAAATTTGGTTTATATTAAGCTAAGCATAAAGTGAATTCATTTTATACTAAGTTTAGCATAACTCCAATTTATTTATACTAAGACTACACTAAATTAAAACTATGTTTAATATAACTTCTTTTTAAATCTCAAATAGAGAGGGTTACAATCATATTAACTATTCAAAATCTTATATTTTTTATCTCTTTCTATTTAGAGTTGCAGATCATATTAGTATTATATAAAATATAGAATCAAATTAGAATAGCCCAAGCTTAGCATAAACTGAGTTCATTTTTTGCTAATTGTTAAGAAAATATAATTTTTTTAAAAAAAAACTTAACAGAAATTTTCAAAGACTAATAATTAGTAAAGTATTTTTTAATTAGTTGGTTTTTTAACTATTAAAACTATAACTCTGTAAATTATTTAAATAATACAGATTTGATATGATTAAATAATTTGCACTATTTTTATTCATTATCAGATAAATAAGATTATAAAATATTACAATTTTTGCTTATACATAAAGGTGTTTTAAAAATATGTTTATTACATAAAACAGAAATTTGTCTTTCTAAAATTAAAATATTTAAATTTATTGCTTTCATTAAATTTTTGCTAATTATTCTATTTAAATAATTTATGTTATTATTTATATAAACTATAATTTTTGATTTAACTTTTCTAATTTTAATAATAACTTTTGTTTTGCAAACAACAGAAATTTCATATTCACTATGTCTATAAATTATTTCATCAGATATGATTTTTTTAGGTTTTAAAAAATTAAATAATGCAGAGGTAATCCAAGTAATATCTGAGCTAGTATCTAACTCTATTACTACTTCTCTATAATATTTTTCTTCTTTACAAATTTTAACTATTATAGCTAACTCTTTAGACTCCTTTTTTCTAATTTCAAGATTTATTGAAGGTATGATTAATAAAAATTCATTTGGTAGCAAAGGTTGAGATGCAAGTATTGAATTGTCAAAAGTTTGAAATGATAAAACACCTTTAATTTCTATAGTATTTTTATCAGATAAAACAATATTATCTCTATCTGAAAAAAGATGCTATGAAAATCTATAACATAATGTGTAATTACTATTACAAGATTTATGAATTTGAATACATCTAATATATAAATTCAGATAAGATATTTGTATATTAAATTGTAATAATGAGCAATTTTGAATAGTTTTTCATTTTTTACAATAAAGAAAAATTCCTTTGCAAGCTACTTTGTTTAAAGCACATGTGTTACATGCAGTTTTAGGATATCCAAATTGTTTTTTACTCATTATTTAAAAATGTTAGATAATTTTAAGTAAATTATTTTAAAAAATAAATTTATATTAAATTATTCAAGAAAATTTATAAATATATTAGACTTTTAATATTACTAATTTGAGAAAATAAACAATCTAACTCTTTTTGTTTTTTATAGTAATTAAGTATTTTTTTTGATAAACTGATTTGAGAATAGATCCTTCTTTTTAAGTAAAAAATAATTTTATATACAAATACTATCAAATAAAAGAATACTGATTTGATCTTTTTTTTGAATTTACCTTATAATATAAGGTACACATATAGTACTTTCTGATTTAATCTTTTAGAGTTTATTATAATATATTAGATTATAAAACTTTTATAAATTAAAAATAAAATATCTATAATAATCTGCTAAGGTGATTACTAGAATTAAACCTACTTTATATTTATTATATGAGTCTCTGATAATAAAATAATGCAAGCTTATTTTTAGTATTTGTAATACTAATAGTCTCTTTAGTAATATCTAATAATCTATTTTTATAATTTTACTATTTTTTAGAAATAGATATAAGTAATTTATTAGCATATTTTTAAGCTAATAAAAGTTTTTGTCTAAATAATAGTAATAGGTTTCTAATATATATTTTCTCAGAGAATTGAAAAAATTATAAAAAAATATTTTTTTATATATTTTTATATTTTAAAATTTTTT